TGACGATATATATAAGTATACAAGGTTACCTGACTGAACGTTCGGGCGTTCGGGGTCCCGTTCGGGGGCCGAACACCTCCAGGTTCGGCCCCCGCCAAAAAAAAATTTGGGGCCTAAAAATAAGTTATTTTTTCTGAATGCTTTTTAGTGAGTTCTCTATGATAAAGCCTACAAACCTATAAATTTTAAATTCATTCAACAAAGCCAAAAAAACAGTAAAAATTGTCAAAGATGGGGGTGTCAAAATGTGCTCGCCCACTCATTATTTTGTTTGTTTTCACTTTTAACTTTTGGTTTTCACTTTATTTCGGGGCCTAAAAAAAATTATTATTTTTTGAAATTTTTTCAATGAGTTATTGGTTATGAAAACTACCTATCTGTAAGTTTTCAGGGCATTTTTTGATGTAAAACAAAATTAAAAATCGGCAAAGATGGAGGTGTCGAAAAGGTACTGGCACACTCACTCATTTTAATTCTCTTTTTATTTTTTCTTATCTTTATCGTAGTGTTTATTTTCTGTATTTTATTTTTAATTTGAATTTGGTAAAGAATTTGGATGTAGTGCCCAGAAAAATGTTATTTAGTTTATTTTTCTCCATAACATATGTTGTTTTCGGAATTGTTTGGAAACGTTTTGTTTGTTTGTTTGTTTTTGTCCTCGTTCGGCCCGAACTGAAGAACGTCTTCCGAAGGGGTCCCGTACGTTCGGGTGTTCGTGTTCGGGCGTTTGACCTGTCCCGAACGCTGGAATATACAGGGTTATGTGACCGAACGTTCGGGGGCCCCCGGGCTGGCCCCCGAACGTTCGGGGTCCCGTTCGGGGGCTGAAGACCTCCAGGTTCGGCCCCCGCCAAAAAATATTTCGGGGCCTAAAAATAACTTTTTTTTCTTCTGAATATTGTTTTGTGAGGTCCCTATGATGTCACCTACACGCTTATAAATTTTAAAGCCATTATGTGAAGCCAAAAACACATTAAAAATCGTCAAAGATGGGGGTGTCAAAACGTTCTCGCCCACTCACTATTTTGTTTTTTTTCACTTTTCGCTTTTTGTTTTTACTTTATTTCGGGGCCTAAAAAAATTTATTATTTTTTGAAAACTTTTTAATAAGTTATTGATTATGTAAAATACATATCTGTAAATTTTCAGGGCATTTGTAAATGCCAAAAAATAATTAAAAATCGGCAAAGATGGCGGTGTCGAAAAGGTGCTGGCACACTCACTCATTTTAATTCTCTTTTTATTTTTTATTATTTTTATCATAGTGTTTATTTTCTGTATTTGTTTTTTAATTCAAATTTGGTAAAGAATTTGGATGTTGTGCCCAAAAAAATGTAGTTAAGGTTATTTTT